TCCTGAAAATCTGCATGCCAGATTCTTACAGACTGAATCAAGCCCATGCAAAAGTATTCATAAATTTCACTTTCAGATATTTATTTATTACATTATAAATTTTAATCCAATCACTTACCTTCCAATCCTCATAAATAGCTCAAATATTGCCATGATCTAAAATAGTCAGAGTGTTCCTTAAAATGGTATAGACAGCTAAATTATTATATATCAATGTAAAGTTATCTCTCTACAATAAAAGTCAGTTACTATACAAGTCACAGAATAGAAGAATGACACAGATATTCTACTGAAAAGTTACAGAATTAAGTTTGAAAACATGATGCAGAAATTTATTGATATGAAGTGGTGGAAATACAGCACCACAATAACAAAAAGAAAAGTTATTACCTACAGTGGTGGAGTGAAAAGAAAGGAACAAGAGAAATTCCTCAGTAGATTAAGACTAGTTCTAGCTTGAAGGGGTTTTACTCATATAAACACACTTATTTGTCAATGTCCCTGACCTGAACTCTAAACATACTTGAACTATTCCTGAATAGAAAATGTTTTTCACACATGAGTCTTTTGAAAGTGGGCATAAACCTGTCAGTTGTTAAAGATCTTTGGGAGTAACTTGGAGAAAGAAAGCTAAGGCAATTTAACTGGATATTTTAAAAATGAAAAGACATAGAAACATGAAAAAACAGTGTGTTCGTACAGATGAGCACAATTAACAAAGACTCTAGAAAGAATTTATAAAATTAATAATATGAACAAAACCAGCATGGTGGAAAGGCTATCAAATCAGAACTCAGTACAAATTTTAAGCATGTCATTAATATAACCATATAAAATTTTAATTCATTGAAGACAAAATTTCTCAGAGATTAAATACATAATGGACAGTAGGAAAAAAATAATGCTAACAAAAGCTTCTCATCAGCAAAATGGTGCAATAGAAGGCAGCTGACAAGATTAAACTTTTAAGTATCTATTGCATTCATAAATAAAGACTCAATAGATTAAGCAATTAAACATTTAATTTTGTTCTGAAAATGCCAGATAATATTATTCAAATCTAAGCAAGGTTAATTTAAAAGAAATTGGGAATCTATATGAAAAAAGAGCACATATAACTCAGGCTGATTTTTAGAATTCATAGTTCAGAAAATTAATTACGAATTTATGGATTAATAAGTACGCTTAAAATATTAAAATTAATGACTGAAAATTGACTTAGAATTATATTTTTAAAACCCAAATGATAATTAAAGGAATTCATTCAGCACTCTTATGTTTACCATTTTATAACATTTATTGTGAAAATAAAGTATGACATCACAAAGTCATTTACAAGAACATAGGACATGAAGTGACCACCAATACAAACATATATTAGCACAAAGATTGGAGAAAAAACATGGAAACTGGACAATACCCAATATCTGAAAATGTCCTTTCCAGTTACATATAACAAAGGATACAGAGACAATTAGCAGATCTTCAAAATGTCATGTTACTACTTGAATATATGAATGATGTGAGTAGCTATTATCATATTTGTTTAATTTTCAGCTATACTTTTATAATTGCTAAGAGTCAAATGACAAAGTAGTTTCAAAGCATATGCTACTATGAAACAAATGAAAGTCACTAAATGTTTTGTTGTTTGCTTTCATAATGTCTGTTAGGTGTGTTTACTTTGCAATATACTTACAGAGAATCCTCAGTATTCACTTATATACGCTTGAAAAGAAGTATTTTGCCACAGTTAATATAGATGGGACAGGGAGCCAAAGAGCATCTTGTGATCTCAGAGCCGGTTACTTACTGACACGGATGCATGTGGGTTGAGGAGACCAACCATTCTCTGTACACATAATTGTGTCCTGACCATTTGGAAGACTGTAGCCAGAGTGACACTTGACTTTTAAAGACTGGTCCTGTAGATAGCTTCCTTTCCATTCTAAAAGTTTCCCATGCTCCACATATGGGAAACTACATTGCCCTAAAGACAATAAGATGATCAATTAAAAACATAAAAGCATTCACTTATTCAAAAAACAAATTAAAATTTATCTTTACAATAGTTAAGTGCATGGGGCATTCAAAAATAAAACCAATACCAAATGTTTTTAAAAGTACCATTTATCTTTAGTTTTATGAATAAAATATTCAAGCAATAAAGACATTCTCATAGTTCCTATTTTCCATGTTCATTTCATGAAGAGCCACTCACATAGTACAGAAACTAGTCCTTTTTGCTTATAAACTCTTCTGCTGGTCTTATTTTTGTTATGAGACTCAAATGGGATTATGTATGTGCTCTTCTCTTTTCACTCTTTGATAAAATTAAACATGCTTTAACGTAGATACTGACTTACTGCGGCATGGGAACTCAGGCTTCCACCCTTGTGCAGTGCAGTGGATGTTGTCCCAGTACATGCCTGAAGGAGCCACAAATCCCTTGTTGCAGTAATAATCGAACTTCTTTCCTATAGGTACTGGGAAGTAAGGTCTGTGTCTCTCTGCACCATATAGACCTCCGTTTTTTATTTCTGGAAAATCGCAAGGTTTCACTTGTAATAAAAAGAAGCAAACAGAAAAAAAAACTCATATCAGGAATAAACCACTAGATCAATGAATTACTTTCTATTAATTACAATAACATGTCTAGAGAGTGTCTGGGACAAGTGTCGAGAGTCAGGAAAATTCTATTAGAGGATTTTTGGAGGTCCAAACTTGTACAGGACAAGTGAGGTCAGAGAAAGTTAGGAGCAATCAAACAGAGGGGTCTACCAGAGGAGAGATAAATGGCCTTGTGGCCAGGGAAGCACAGTTAAGAAACAGCCAGGAAGATGCTGAATAAAGAAGAGACTCCAGTTTTGCAGCATGGAACTGAGAGCTCTCAAAAGATGACAAGATGCCTGTGTTTGGTTTTTATCACCATTGGGTTACTAGGAATTCCCAATTCCACAGTCCCCCACTTAGGCCCAACCTCATGGTATGGGTCTGAGACATACCCAGCCACAGAAAATGGCGCCTGAATATGGGACCTGAGAATGGGGGAAGAAGCCATGGACACCACAATGAAAGGGACACCAAAGAAGCAATGGACAAGGCAGAGGCATGGACACTTTGAAGAGATAGTCCTCGCAGGTGAACGGGTTGGAGAAGAAGCAAGTGCAGAAAAAAGAAGAAAGAAGTGGTCGAATATGGTGAGTGAACAGCATTAAGTCAGGAATAAAACTGTATATAATTGTAGAAATAGGAAACAGTTATTTGTAATATAAAATAGGAAGATG